GTGAAATTTCTGGGTCATATGGCGTTTCTATGTTTTAACTTTTTAAAGACCCACCAAACTTTTCCACAGCAGTTGAGCCATTTTCTTTTCCTATAAGCAATGTATAAAGGTTCAGATTTCTCCACATTCTCACCAACACTTATTTTATATTTTTTAAATTATAGCCATCCTGGTGGGTGTGAAGTGGTATGTCATTATGGTTCTGAGTTGCATTTTCCTAATGAATGATGTTGAGCATCTTTTCATATGCTTGCTGGCCATTCATGTATCTTTTGAGAAATGTGTATTTAATCCTCTTTCCATTTTTAAATTGAGTTGTTTGTCTTTTTTGTTGTTGTATAAGAGTTTTTTATATATTCTGGATACTAGACCCTTAGCAGGTACATCATTTGCAAATGTTTTCTCCCATTCTGTAGGGTCTTTTCCCTTTCTTGATATGGTCCTTTGATGCACAAAAGTTTTTCATTTTGATGAAGTAAATTTGTCTTTTTTGTTGTTGTTACTTATGCTTTCAGTGTCATATCTAAGCATCCATTTCCAAATCCAAAGTCATGAAGGTTTACTCCAGTGTTTTCTTCTAAAGAGTTTAAATGGTTCAGTTCTTAAATTTAGGTTGTTGATCCGTTCTCAGTTCATTTATATGTATGGTGTGAGATAGGAGTCCAACTGAATATTTTTGCATGTGTATCTCCAGTTGTCCCAGCACCATTTGTTGAAGGAACTATTCTTTCTCCACTGAATGGTCTTGGCAACCTTGTCAAGAATCAGTTGACCATAGATACATGGGTTCAATTCTGGACTCTCAGTTCTGCCCTTTTGGTCTGTATGTTTCTCCTTATGCCAGTTCAACACTGTTTTAATTACTGTAGCTTTGAAGTAAGTTTTGAAATGAGGAAGTGTGAGTCCTTCATTTTTGTTGTTCTTTTTCAATATCTTTTTCGCTATTTGGGGCCCCTTGCAATTCCATATGAATTTGAGGATTGGTTTTTACATTTCTGTGAAAAAGCCTGTTGGGATTGTAATAGAAATTGCATTTGAATCTATATATCACTTTGGGTAGTGCTGCCATCTTAACAATATCAAGTCTTCCAATCCATGAACATGGGATGTCTTTCCATTTATTTAAGTTTTCCTTAATTTCTTTCAGAAAAATTTTTTTGCTTTGTTTTTTTTGGCTTGCCAGTATGGGGATCTGAACCTGTGACTTTGGTGTTGTAAGGCTTTGCTCTAGCCAACTGAGCTAACCAGCCAGCCCCTTCCACAATGTTTTGTATTGTTCAGTATACAAGTCTTTTCATTTCCTTGGTTAAATTTATTCCTAGATGTTTTATTCTTTTATTGTAATAAAATATATTATTATAAATGGAATTGTTTTCTTAATTTCCTTTTTGACTTGCCCATTGCTGGTGTATAGAATCACTACTGATTTTCACATGTTGATCTTGTACACTGCAACTTTGTTCAGTTTATTACCTTTAGTAGTAGACTTTTTGAGTATGTGTGTATATTTTGGAGATTTTCTATATATACGATTTAGGGATTTTGTATATATCTATCTGTGCATAGAGATAGTTTTACTTCTTTTTTTCCAGTTTGGATATCTTTTATTCATTTATTTTTGCCTAATTTTTCTGGCTGGAACTTCCAATACCATGTTAAATAGCAGTGGTGAATATGGGCATCCTTGTCTTGTTCCTGATCTTAGGGGGAAAACTTTTAGTCTTTCACCATGAAATGTGATGTTAGTTGTGGGCAGTTTTATCATGTTGAGAAGTTCTCCTTTACATCTAGTTTTCTGAGTGTTTTTTTTTTTTTATCATGAAAGGGTGTTGGATTTTGTCAGATGCTTTTTCCACATCAGTTGAGATGGTCATGTGGGTTTTTTTCCTTTGAATTAATAATATGGTATATTACATTGGTGTTTTTTTTTTTTTTTTTGTATGTTGAACCACCCTTGCATTCCTAGAGTGAATCCTACTTGGTCATGATGTATAATCCTTTTAAGTTGCTGTTGGATTCAGTTTGCTAATATTCATTGAGAATATTTTGCATCTATATTTATAAGGGATGTTGGTCTGTAGTTTTCTATTCCAGTGATATTTTATGTCAGGCTTTGGTATCAGGGTAATGCTTCCCTGTAGAATGAGTTGGAATTGTTCTCTTCTCTTCTTTTTCTCCCCTTTTGTTTTTTGAATGGGTTTTAAATTATTTTGGGAAGTTAACTATACAGATTCTCAATATTGTTATTCAAGACAAACAAAAAAATTGACTTATACAGAAAACTCTTTGCCTGATGAGAATTTAATAACAATATTTTGTTGCTAAAACCCCACCTACTTATCTTAGGAACAAACCGTATTATAGTTGTAAAATCTCATGGAATAAGATGTTGTTACTTGATGTACTTCTGCATTTGTAGAAATTCTAAGAAAGCATTGAATACAAGGATTATAATGTTATGAGATTTTAGTTACCCACATGTATATAAACATTTTTAGCAGCAATTTTAGAAATGTAATACCTTTCTGGAAGTATTTAACAACATAGAAACTTGATTTTGGCTAGCCTTAACCACTTCTTAAGATAAAACTTGAACACAGGGGCAAGTACCAGAGCAAATACTTTACTACAATAAAAATGGACCAATTTTCAAATGTTAAATCTTAGACTCTTCTATATTTAAAATATCTAATTTAAAAATAATATGATAAATCTACCATTCTTTTCAGTTGTTTGCATAATTAGGTAAAGTCTTTGCCACTCCTTTCTAAAGTATATAATTTTTGAAACTAATTATGATACCATTTCATAAATGTATTTATCCATTTCTTTTCAATTTTCTGTGCATATGTGGTGTGAGTAATAGATGCATCTCTAAAATAAAAGGAGTTTTTCTTTTAGAATGTGCTGTTTTTTAGATGCTAGCAGATTTTTTTTTTTTGTTTAGATTTTCAAAAATTTGATTTCCATGCAGTTTTTCAAGGATAGATTGTTTCTTTTTTTTTTTTTTCCTTTTTGTCTTTTTTTTACTGACCGGTAATGGGATCGCAACCCTCAGTGTCACGCCCGTACTGGGGACCGGCAACGGGATCGCAACCCTCGGTGTTGTGCCCGCACCACGCTCAGCCAGTGAGCGGGAACCGGTCTCCACATGGGATCCGAACCCTCGGCGGGAGCGCTGCAAGCGGCACACTCTCCAGTGCACCACCGGGCCGGCCCAAGGATAGATTGTTTCTATAACTTCTTCCTGCATAACTTTGGAGGGGCAGTGTGGTATAGTGTAATGGTTTTCAAACTTTAACGGACCCAAGAATTACCTGTGAGTAATAGATCTTTAGGGCCCAGCAAGCTCTCTAGGTAATTGGTAGAGGTGGTCCAGGGCCAATATTAGTTAGCGGTGGTGATTTAATCTATGATATCATACAGTTCTTGGAATAGAACCTAGTACATAGTAAATGTTCAAAACATTCCATTCATATGTGATGACTTGGATGGCAACTAAGAAGCAAGAGAATATTCATTGTTTTCATTCAACAAAATTTACTGAATTCCTGCAGTATTCTAGGAGCTTGTGGACATAAAGGGAAAATGGACACATTTCTCTTGTTGAATTTATTTGATAGACTATTTTTAAAAACATAGATCTTCCCTAGTAAAAAACTGAAAGATAGAGTGAATATTGTACATTGCATATTGTATATGCTTATATAATCTTTCCCCTGCAAATTAAAAATTCATTCTTTATTTGAATGAGGATTACAGGTTAAAGAAATGGTTGGGTCTGAGTATTATTTCTCAGTTTCATTGTTGCTCTAAAGCTATACTGTACAATACAATAGCCCCTAGAGACTTGCGGCTATTTAAGTCAATTGAAATTGAATAACATTAAAAATCTGGTTCCTCAGTGGCAGGAGCCACATTTCAAGTGCTCAGTGGCCACACGTGGCTAGTGATGCTTTATTGGACAGTGCAGATGTAGACCATTTCCATCATCACACAAAGTTCTATTGGACAGTGTTGCTCTAGAGTCTAGAACTACAAAGCAGTAATTTTCCTATTGCCTTGATCTGTAAATTGATTTTGAGGTAAGTATTAGCCGTGTCCTGAGGCTGTCATTTCAGTTCTTAAGTGCATTAATAACCTTTCAGGTTGACCAGGCCCAGGGTTAGTATTGATTTACCTTAACCGTTTTATTACACAGCAAGTGAGATCTAAATGCTAGTATCTGGGCATTTTTTTTTTAAACCTCTGAGTAATACACATATGCTGTTTTACTCTATTAGGTATAACTTTTCTCGTGTGTGTGTGTGTGTGTGTGTGTGTGTGTGTTTGTGTGTGTGTGTGTGTGTGAGAGAGAGAGAGAGAGAGAGAGAGAGAGAGAGAGAGAATGAGATAAGGAGAGAGGATTCTCCACAGCATTACAGTTGCTTTAAATTTGTATTTGATGAACTGTGGGGGCAAAGAAGAGTTGCAATTCCATCTGTATTACTAGAATTTATAATATTTACATGAAATAATTTATTATGAAATTTGAGAGTAGTGAAAAGTTGGATTAACACTATTTAGTCAGAATTGTACTGGGTAGAACCTTAGTTATGCTTATTTTAAAATATTAATTATGATAAATTTACTATTTTGGTAATTAAAAGACTAAAAATAATATTTTTCAGTATATTTGTTGTTAAAACCTGTATATAAAATTGTGCAGTACCCATGACATTCTGATGTCTAGGCCACGAAGGCATTTTTTTTGTGCACAGTTCAAGAAATAACGTGCAAGTGCAATGGACTTTTTGCCTCTGTTGCCTGAACACGAGTATCTAGATAGGGATAGGGTTTTGCCTTTTTTTTCCCCTTCAGTTTTTGCTATTGTCCCTTTCTGAGAAGAGAGGCAGTAGGAGACTGTTGTCACTTGGTCCTAGGTCATGGATTAGTGCAATTGAAGTCATTGAAATCATATTGTCATTACTGCCTCCTTCAGTGACCTTCCATCTTTCCAGGTCACTTACTTCAGCCTCTGGTATTTCAACAAGCAAAATCAGCGCCGGTGGGTAGATTTGGAAAAACCTCTGAAGAAGCAGCTGGATAAATATGCGTTGGAACCTACCGTCTACTTTGGAGTGGTGTTTTATGTGCCTTCAGTCTCACAGCTGCAGCAGGAGATTACCAGGTGAGAAATTACATGCTGTTTGATTTTAGTAAATAATCTAGTGAGATTAGAAAAAGTGAAACTAAGGTTGAAGCCAGGAAATAAAGTCTGAAACTTTGCCCTCCTGCCACACATTTTTTTTTTTTTGCCATATTACACAGAGGTTCTGGTATGTGGCATGTCAGGATATTTTACTACATGTTGGATGAGTTACGGGTTCACTAGGCACAAAGGAATAATTAAAGGGAAAAATGATGTTTTTACCCTGGCTGTGAACTCTTCTTGTAGTGATGTCACCATTAATGTTTTTGTTGTTTTATTTCTGATCCTTTGTAACAAGGAAATGAGAGAGGAGATTAAGAGAAATTAGTCACAAAATCTGTGTTTATTCCTCAAGGAAACGTGCCAAAAGGTTCTTAATAGTTTTCTGACTCCAGTAGCTATGTTCTGTAGACAGGTGGGAGAGGAAGTGGGGGGGCGGGCAGAGAAAGAGATGGAGGGAGGTGTTTAAGATCTGAAAATTTTGACCAATAAGTGTACTTTAAAGGGACAAAAACAGAAAGGGAAGATAATATTAAGGAGAGGATAGAGGAACTAAATATATATATATATATTTTTTTTTCCTTTTTGTCTTTTTTCATGTCTGGCAATGGATCGCAACCCTCAGTGTCGCACCCATACCAGACCTGTAGACAGGTGGGAGAGGAAGTGGGGGGGCGGGCAGAGAAAGAGATGGAGGGAGGTGTTTAAGATCTGAAAATTTTGACCAATAAGTGTACTTTAAAGGGACAAAAACAGAAAGGGAAGATAATATTAAGGAGAGGATAGAGGAACTAAATATATATATATATATTTTTTTGCTTCTAAAGGTAAAACAAAGAACAATGGAGTAAAATTTGAATTCTTGAGCCTGCCTTCCAAAGTTCTCCAAAATCCACCACTACCTTATCTTTTTAACCTCTATTTAACATTACTTTTGAGCTAAGCTGGACTTCTTTTAGTGCTCTGAACATGCCACATGCCTTTTCGTCTTTATGTCCTAGGTCTTTTTCTCCTATTTATGTACTGGAGTACTAGTCATCTTGTGAATTATAGTTTAGGAGGTACCTCCTCCGTGAAGCTTCTGTGACCCCCCCGGCTGGAATGAGCTTTGCCTTTTCCAGGCTGTCCTAGAATTTATTTGCTTGTACTTGTGTTAAGATGGCAGTTGTCACAGCCTCTCATTATAGGTGTTTGTGTACATGTCTTATCTTTTTTTCTTGATTTTTTTTGGTAGCTGGTCGGTACAGGGATCCGAACCTTTGACCTTGTTACAAGATGGTGCTCTAACTGAGCTAACCAATCAGCCCTTTTTTCATGATTTTAAATCCATGTTTTCTTTTGCTTTACCTTTTTTATGATATCTAACATAGTGCCCTGTGGATAGCAAGAACCTGATACTGCCCTATGTTTGTGGAATGCTGTTTAAGTCTGCCAGTTAGTTATTGGAAGAGGAAAGAAAACCAAAGAAGCCAAGATCAGGTGGTAGGGGTAAACACAAATTAACTCCAAAACAGGTCTGAGATATAAATATTGGAGAGAGAAGTGGAAGCCAGGAGGAAAAAACATGAACTGATCACTTTAACTCATTTAAACATTTATTGAAGATAGGGTATGATCTAAGAACTATGTTGCTAGTGTTGGAGACTAATACACAAGTGAATATGGCTTTAATCCTGCTCTGGAGGAATTGCTTTCAGTCTGGTGGAACTGGCAGTTCGTGTAAATAAATAATTACAGTATCTTATGATAATAAATGCTTTAATTAAAGTTCTGGATTCCTAGGGATGGTTGCATGGGGAACTTGAACAGGGAAGATGAAGAAGCTGATTTTTCTATTGACTTTGGAAGGAATTTTCTAGTTAGAGGCAATAGCTTGTGCAAAGCAGAGGGAATAGTGAAAGTGACTACATATTTTCAAGAAGTTTCAGCTATCACCTAGTGCGGTGAGAGGAGATTTTAAAAATAGGCATGTCCTAGTCATAAAGTCATGGTACAATGAAGAAGATGTTTTCAAGTTTTAATGGAATGGAATAATCAAATTTGCATTTTACAAAGATCACCCATCATGGAAGGTAGATTAGAGGTGGTAAGACTATAGGCAGGAGACCAGTTAGGAATATCTATGACATAATCTAGGCATTAGTCTAGAATAGAGACCTGAACAAAGGCTTAGTTGTAGGAAGGATTGAGAAAGAATGGGCCTATCAGATTCAGTCAGTAAGACTGCTCATTGATTAGGTGTCAGAGAACCTGATAAAGGTGTATCATTAAGGATTAAGTGTGGTCATATATAACAAAAGCATTGACTCTGGTTTAAAAAAAAAAGTCCAGAGGTCAGCCATGCAGAGCTTATATGACAGCTCCACAAAGTCTCTAAGGACCCTTGCTTTTTCTCTTAGTGTTCCATCATCCCAGCATGTTCTTTCCATTCATGAGGTTGTCTCATGGTCCAAGATATCTAGAGAAGCTTTAGCTGTCACACTCATAGAGTCAGAAAGCAAATAAGTGCTTTCTTAAGGAGTCAGAGAGGGAGAGAAGGATTATGAGGTGTACAAGGGACCTTCTGCATGTAATTAGTATGCTCCTTGTTTCGTGATGGTTTTATAGGTATATTCATATGTCATCTTGTGCACTTTAAATTTGAGTAGTTTATTGTTTGCCAGTTATACCTCAAAAAAGGTGTTAAACAAAACCCATTCAAAGATATTTTAAGAAAATAAGATGGGAGAAAAATAATTTAAATAACAAATCGATAGAAAATAAAGATGGCTCAATAGACTGCACTGGCAGAGTCAGTAGGTCTCCATTCAACACTGTATCCCCAGCATCTAGACAATGCTTAACGTATTGTAGCCCCTAGTAATTACCTATTTATTTACTAAATTAGTGAATTAATAAAAGTGAATAAATAAAAAGAAGTAATAAATCTTCACTTGAGGAGAAGTGGTACAGATGAAATACTGCTGACTGGCTTACAGTGTATGATTGCTGATAATAACAGCTACTGTCTGAGTGCCAGCTCTCTTCTTAGTCTTATGTTAAGAGCTTTACTTGTGTTACTTGAATACGTTCAGCCCGGTGAAGAGGTGATGGTGCCTTCATTTTATTGGTGATAGAATTTAAACCTATAGGGGCCGGCCCGGTGGTGCACTGCTACAGTGCGCCGCTTGGGAGCACGGCGGCGCTCCCGCTGAGGGTTCGGATCCCACATACAGACAGATCGGTTCCCGCTCACTGGCTGAGCGAGGTGCGGGCGCCACACCGAGGGTTGCGATCCTGTTGCCGGTCCCGGTCCGGTACGGGCGTGACACTGAGGGTTGCGATCCGTTGCCGGTCACGAAAAAAGACAAAAAGGAAAAAAAAAAATTTAAACCTATAAATTATGACTTGCTCAAGTTCAGGCAGAATACTAACTTGGAGAGCTGGAATTTAACCTAGGTCTGCTTGACACTAAAGCATGTGCTGGTAACTGGGTGCCCTATGTATTCAAAGTATAAAGAGAGTAAACAGAAATAAATCCACATAACAATGTTAGGAAAGTGTCTTAGTGGCTATTCTTTTTAGGATTTCATCAAAAATTTTTTTTAATATAAGCCTGGTCTGAAATATCAGGAACCATTTTCCTCTGGCTTTACTTTCCAGGGCTAGGGAACTTCCAGCAAACAGGGTAAGCAAGGTCTTTTACTGCCAAGTTACTGGTCAAAGAATTTTTTAAGTAAAGACTGATCATTGATTCTTCATTTTTCCACTCAAAAGAACAAATTGTAGAGACTGTCTTACAGGGCATGAGACAGATGACCAGTTGTCTTATAGATGGTTTTAGCTTTCAAACAATCACTGTTAGGGATGAGTGACTCATTAAATTGATTCTATTGTGTGTTGTGTAGGTATAGAGACGGTCGACAGTCCTGTCATTCTTTGAAACCATTTGGGGTTAATGTTTTATTTTACTGGTTTATGTTCCTGTACCAAACTGTGTTTCAGTTGGAGGTAATATTGATATTGACTTTATAAAATTGACATTTTTATAGGTATCAGTATTATCTGCAGCTGAAGAAAGATGTCTTGGAAGGAAACATTCCTTGTACGTTAGAACAAGCAATTCAGCTAGCAGGCTTAGCAGTTCAAGGTAAATAAGAGCAATTAGTAATGTAATAGTTCTGTCAGATTAAAATATGTGTTATAACAAAAACAGCAAGGGATTCTTAAAAGGATTGGCTTTCTCTATATATCTTTAGTAGTGTTTATATATTAGTGCAATATTATTCTGTTACCTAAGTAGCTTCCTTTTGGGAAAAAATGAATTTGGATTACTTCAGTGAAATATGAGAAGTCTGGAAGGGGGGAAAAATGAATTTGGATTACCTCAGTGAAATATGAGAAGTCTGGAAGGGGGCAAAAATGAATTTGGATTACCTCAGTGAAATATGAGAAGTCTGGAAGGTTAACCATGTTATCATATGTCAACAGAGCAAACAATCCAATACATAATAATACATATATATATGTTTTTAAATATTTAATATGCTAGGCATTTATCTAGTTCAAGGACTTGATCTATTAATAACTAATACTTTAGGAAGAAAGATGTGCCAATCAATGAGGTTGATGAGGTTATATTCACTTATACTTTAAGTACATTTCATTTGTTTGGTTTCTTAAATAATTGTCCTGGATTATGCATCATCATCAGTCATAATGGATAAAGATTTTGCACTTTGCAAGCATTTTTTTAATTGTTTAATTCTTTCATTTTTCACGTGTCTAATCTACATGTATTTATATGTACGTATATACTTTGGGAAGATTTCTGATGGGGCATTATTTCTAATGATAACTGACATTTAACCTTGGGAATTGAAATTTAATCCGAAGAATCATTAATAAAATCCCTCCAGATATTAGCAGGCATGGAGACATGTATCATTTCTAGACAAACAAATGCCTGATACACATGGAGCCACATTCCTTTTCAAGGTACTTCACATTTTCTTTGGCTTTAAGACTTACTTTTTCATAAGCTTTTTGCTGATCTGTCCATTTTTTTTTTAACAATTTAAAATCTCAAAACAAATGTATGTTGCTATAACATATTCAGATATCTAATCCCATGCCCCAGAGGTAATTACTACTGTCAATAGTTTGGTTTCTTCCTGACATTTTTCATTATATAATCAAGCATACATGATTACAGGGTGGGTTTTATTTGTTTAATTATAAAAACAAGATCATATTATGTTTAGTTTGTAACTTGTTTTTTACTTAATTCATAGGTGTTTTTTCTAGTCAAGACACATGAATCTACCTAATATTTTTAAAAAGACATTTAAAAAATATACTCTTTATCACTGTGGAATGAATTTGATTTCTGAATTACAAGTACGCTGTCTATATACTGTATATTTTGTTATGCATGTTTCACTATGCAAATTAAATATCAACATGTGAATATTTGTCATTTTGTATAGCTGATTTTGGTGATTTTGATCAATATGAATCCCAGGATTTTCTTCAGAAATTTGCCTTGTTTCCTGTGGTAAGATCTCTTTTGACATTGGGCCTTTTTATAGTTTATTCCCATATCCTTAATAATCCCTGAAATGAAGTCCATGTGGTAGACTTACTAGGCAGGAATATCGTTAAAAATCAGTTCTCTCTTATAAGCATCTCAAGTGTGAATGCTTTCCTTGTTGTTGTCTTCTTGGTCCTTGTGAACCCATAGAAACAGAAGGGTCTTCAGCCACTGTGCTGTGCCCAGAGAAATTCATTTTCTATTTGGATGTGAATCTACAGAGAGGGATTCACTTTCAGCTTCTGAGGAATCAGGCAGAGGTTTTGCTTTTAACCGAAGGCTTGAAACCTCACAAAGTTATGTTGAAATGAATTTAGCTTATCAGCAGCAATTAAAAAAGTAGATGGCAAAAAGACACTGCCTTCTACTTTTTAAGTCATTGCTAATGGAAGTGAAATGAAAACTGTATTGGAACCACCAAGGGAGGTGGTGTGCCCTTCTTCTGGGTGTCTGCACAGCAGCCAGAGAATGCAGATGTTGTTATTGTGCTGGGCTCAGGACTGGCCAACGGGTGTGACCATCCTGAAATAACTCAGCTTCCTCTGGGATGAATTGAGAAGGCACGGCAAACTTTTTTGGCTCCTGAGCAGAAGCCACTTAATTCCTTAGAGAGTTCACGATGTAAGCAAAGCTTGCACATATTAATACTAGGCATAATTTTGCTGCTAGTGACAAGAGTCAGTAACACTCAATAGCAGTGATTCCTCCTAAGAAATTGGGATGAATTGTTATGTACTAAACTGCTGTATATTTTCCTCAGGGGTGGTTACAAGATGAAAAAGTATTGGAAGAAGCAACCCAAAAAGTGGCCTTACTACATCAGAAATACAGGTAACACTATTTTCCTGATCTCCACTAGCCTGAGTTCATTACTCTGGAATTAAGGGCCCTCCACAAGTTGATTACATTCTGCTTTCCCTTCTGCTATTCAAATGAACCATTTTTTCATTTTTTCCTAGCATAATTGATCCCTCAGGCACACATTGCTCTGCCTTTTGTCACTTTTATTCTTTCATTTGTGCATTTCCCTAAAAGGTAGGTTAGTACTCTGTATGAGGAAGAGTGCTGAGTGCTGTGGCACAAAGATTAAAGGAATAATTCTCTGCCTTCCAGGAGTGCATTCCCAGCCTTGCAGTCTGAGGGATGGGCAGAGTAATCCATTGTAAAAGTAATTAAAATACATATAATAAGATACTGGGTGCAGTGGGAGAGGTGTGGGAAGAATGTGTTGGGTCTGCAGGGAGCATGGGCTTTGGCAAATCCCAGAAAATGACAAAGAGGGAATCTTGAAGGATATTAGGGATTGGCCAGGTCCACAAGTGGGTGACAGGTATACCAGGAGGAGGGATTAACATTTACAAAGGCCCCAGAAGTGTGAGGGAACATGGTTTATTCGAAGAAATCAGGAGTTTGGGCTGGCTGCAGTGTGGTTGCTTTGGGGATGTGGGGTGCAGCAGCAGATGAGGCTGGAGAGGCAGCTTCTTCACCTATGCTGCCTTTCTGCCATCCTTGCGGTGCTCCAATCACCTGAGCTAAAAGGGATTTCCATCTAGCCTCCTTGTGCCCTTATTCCCTGCATTTATCATCTTGCACATGATTCTTAGTAATGCCTGATATTTCAGATAAGCAAGTACTTGGTGGTTTAGAAAAAATCCTGGCTTTCACTCAAAGAAGATTTTTTAGGGGGTTGTTTGATCTTCCACCTCCCCTCTTACCTTCCCTCTTCAAGGGATATAGGATCTTATACACGTATAACTCACTCTTAGCATTCAGCACAGTGCTTTGCATTCATCACTTTTTGGTAAATACTGATGGATTGCTATAACCAGTTACAGATGAAATGTTTAATGTCTCATGCCAAATTGGTATGTAGTTTTTAAGAAAAGCTTTATATTGAAAACTTTTTAGTTTTGTGAACCATCTTACCAACGTCTTTTGGGTTGCAGAGGGCTCACGGCTCCTGATGCTGAGATGCTGTACATGCAGGAGGTAGAGAGAATGGACGGCTATGGCGAAGAGAGCTACCCTGCCAAGGTACACATGGCTCCGAGGTTGGGACTCTCTAAAATTGGGTTCAGTAGTTTAGGAGAATAGCGGGGAAGCCCAAGTTGCCTAGATGTGCAGAGTCTGAAGACGTGCAAAAGTCTGGAAACTTAAAAGCTGAGATCCTTGTGGCCAAAATTTTATTGTGAAACACACTCACATTTTTCAGTTCCTGCTTTGAAATGGTCTTGGAATAAAGGTCCTTAAGAAGATAATACGTTTATGTAATTCAGACTCTTTTTCTTCAGAATAGGTGCATGTGCAGGTCTTCTGAGCATTTTATATCTGGGGAACAAGTGTAGGGGACTAGATGTAGTTGTAGTTTTTATGCACCTGTTTCCCATTTCTTTTTCTGCTTCTTCCTTTTAGGATAGCCAGGGCAGCGACATATCCATTGGAGCATGTCTTGAAGGTATCTTTGTGAAACACAAGAATGGAAGGCCTCCTGTGATATTTAGGTATTTTTCTTACCTCTTTCTGTGGCTCCCGTTGATGAGTTTTTAAAAATGTACTTAGAGTAGTTAAATTGCTCACAAGTCTTTCCCAAGAGCTCATTAAGTAATGGAAATATTTCCTTTCTAGAATAAAATGCCAACTGAGTGCAGTGGTTCTTTTAATAAGCCACTTTCTTCAAAACCAAATGTGCAGAAAATAGTGCTTATAATGATAGCCTATTTATAAAATGCTTAAAAATATATGAAACTTTTCTTGCCATATTGAAGCCAGTCTTTGTTTTGATGTGAATTTTTCATTTGAATTCTGGTCTCTAGGGCTATTTCCTTCCTTCCTTCCTTCCTTCCTTCCTTCCTTCCTTCCTTCCTTCCTTCCTTCC